TTTTCCAATGAAACAAAAGTGTTGTTAGGGTGGTGGACGTAGTAGAACTACTGCAGGGGTTTGCTTCGCCGCCTCTTCAAAAGTCATATCAAACTCTTAGATTTCGGTTTCTCCTTATTTTGGCTAGTTTGTGCAGTTCTGCACCAGGGGTCGGTATGTTGCAAACTCTTTGCACATTTTTATATATTCATTTTTCTACCAATTTTAAATGTATTTTCTTTTAGAATTGTCATATATTTTTTATTGTCACTTTTTGCCTACAACCATTTGTAAACGTATCTATCTTCATTATAAGTATTTTCCATTTTCTATCCATTGTTTGATTTACATTACACATACAGTCCACTCATTCTATCACCTACAACCGCCTTGCTCGAACTCAGCGACGAGGTAGAGAAGGCCTATTTCATATATATGTAAAATCTTATTCGAAAAGATTTAAAAAAAAAAATCTTTGTCAGTCATTTCTCATTTTCAAGTCTCTCTATTTAGGTAAAATAATAACTAAATTTAAGATAAAATAAATGCCACTGGGAAAGTAATAAATAGCAAAACTGGAAAAGTTAATGTTTAAAAAATAACAAAAATATTCATAACGACTTGGGAAATTCCGATACAGAGATCGCGGATACTTTCGAATCTTATTTCTACTAATCTAACAGACAGTGGTAAGAAGTTATCAGCTGTATTTAACTTCAGACATATAACATCCAGTGGCGGCGTTAGGCGTCGCGCGTCGCCAACGTTCACAAAGTCTCACAAAGTTTTTAATTATTTAAAATTTTGTTACTTATTTTCATACAGTTGAGAGAGTAAAAAGTGTGAATAGAACTTTACAGGATTTAAATATATCCAAATGTTTATATAACAATTAGAATCATGGTCACAGTTCCCGTCAGTACAATTTCTGCTGAGAGAAGCTTCCGAAAGTTATAATTGATTATGACCTACTTGAGAGGCACGATGAGTCAAGAGAGAATATCTGCGTTATCAGTTGTATCAATTGAAGCTGAAATAGCGACTAGTGTTAGCTATTACATAATGCTGAAAAAGTTTAGTATTTCCAAAAGCGTAAAAGTTCGTCTATTTTAATAATTGTCATCATGAGTTTGTCATTAGCAATAAATTTCGTTTACTCATACATTAGTTTAAGTATAATTCGGCTTATGTAATTTAACGTTCTTGACTTGAAAAGGAGGCCTCGCGAACCCTAATTTATCTAATTCGTCTAGCACCACTGATAACATCAGTAGAAGGAATGAAAATGTTTAAGAAAAAGAAAAAAAAAAAAAATGCCAGGGAGTATCGATATGGGTCTATCATTTCTTGGGTCACTCCTATTTCCAAATTTCAAAAGTGGTATGATTTTACCAATTTTCATTATGCAGTCGTTACAGCTTAAGATGCATGTTTTCCAAATTTACATGATGGTAACTTTTTACCATCAGATGACGTATACTTGTCTCCCACCATCGTAGTATATGGGCACTTTTTTTAATAAATTTACAGTACATTTTACAACTCAAAGGAATGTTAATTGTTTTCTAAATAATGTGTACACAAATATTTAAATAAATAAGTAAACATATTTTTAAAATTTCTAGTAATTTATCTATCTATTATTATTAGTAATTAATCTATCTATTAATTTATTGTCTAATTATTTACAAAAATAGAAATGTTGCTGTACGACTATTGTCAACTTAAAACTTTTTAAGGTTGGCAACCCTGACACTTTCTCTATTTAGTCTGTGTTCGCGTTACTGTTTCTGTAATTAATACTGATCAAATTGTATCTGTGCCAATCACGGTTTAAAAAAAAATATATATCATTGTTACAATTTTCCTACAAGATTTTATTAACAAAATATAAAACAATAAAATGGCTTCGGTAAAAGACGTAGCATCTCTGTATCAAAATTTGAAAACGGAATGGGGAAAGAAACCTCGCAAACTTGACAAATGTGCAGAGTTGTTAAATAAAATCAAGGTACGTACAACTGTACTGTTACGATGACTGGACAAAATTTCTAAGCGTCTGTTTCATTAGATTATTTTTTAGTAATTACTTCCATTCATCGTTAATTGCTGATAACTCTCATACTGTTTCTTATGAGCATAATTATCTACATGGGTATTGTTTCTCTAACAAGTTATTGTTCCGTTTCCCAGGTCGCCCTTACGCAGTTGACGTTTCTCCCCAGTAATAACACTGCTGCTAATCAAAAGGAATTAATTTTGGCGAGAGATGTTCTAGAAATAGGTGCTCAATGGGCCGTGGCTGCGAAAGACGTGAAAGCTTTCGAGCGTTACATGTCACAGTTAAAATGCTATTATTTTGATTACAAGTAAGTTGAATTGTATCATTTTCTTTTGATTTTTTATTATAATGTACAGATCTAGCTTCAATTTTCTATCACTTTTGTAAATCTTATATATTGGCGTTAGTTAGATTAGAATTAATGGCAAAGTGGCAAATCATCTATACATATAAAATAAAATTGGAGTGTCTGTTTGTAATTTTGAAATAATCGTTTTATACTACATGCACATGTATGCATATGAATATAAATATGGTACTTACACCAAATTAACATTTTCTACAATTTTTGTCTGTCTGTCTCTTTGTTCCGGATAATCTCTGAAATGGCTGGACCGATTTTGACGGGACTTTTTTTGGCAGGTAGCTGATGTAATAAGGAGTAACTTAGACTACTTTTATTTTAGAAACATAAAGTTAAATTCCACAGTGACAGTCGGGTGTACAGCTAGTTGTCAATATAATTGATGTTCGTGTATGTTGATGCCAGGGTATGGCGCTTGGTTGTTCTTGTTTAGGTGTTAATTTAAGTCACAGGTACAATAAAATGCATACCATTTTTAATTTCAGAGATCACCTCCCAGAATCGGCCTTCATGTATCAACTGTTAGGTTTGAACCTGCTGTTCCTTCTGTCACAGAACAGAGTAGCCGAGTTCCACACTGAATTGGAGCGTCTGTCAGTGGATGTGATCAGAGCCGACCCGTATGTGAGGCATCCACTTGCATTGGAGCAGTACCTTATGGAGGGTAGTTACAATAAGATCTTTTTAGCAAAGGTACATGTCATTTGTGTTACTCACATGTTTTTTTTTTTTTTGCCGATCAGACATTGTCATTTATCAGATACTAGCCAGTCTTTGTACAAAGTAATAACGATACCATGTTCTATTTGTTTGCACATGATTTGTTCACAGTAACGTTATAATTTTGTGACATACAGCCCCTGTTGCTCATTTAGATTCGAATAAAATAATAATATTAATACATTCATGGAGGTTCCCTCACTGCTGCAGTGCTTGCAGCTGTAGTGTAATCTGCCATTTCACCTGTTTGATATATTCTGTGTAAAAAAAAAAATAACTCACAATTAAACCCTATATGTGCAGCTTTGTGAATATGTTCATATTCACCTGTCTACTGCTGTACAATGAATCACTTTTATTTTAAAAACATAACTTATAATATTTTATCTACGACCACAACCCCACATTATGTCTGTATTGTGGAAGTCAAAGCAGGTGAACTTAACATTTGTGCAGAATACAATGCATCTATGTTTAATGGGTATAAATAATATAGCTTTGGTTTCCATATTCCCTTTGGCAAACACATTCTCCATTTACTACCATTATAATCCTGTCTAGAACATTACCATGGTGTTACTTATGCCATTTTGACACATTTGTGACTAGCATCTTCTCTTCTAAATTATTTATTTAAAAACATAATGTATGATTGTTACTTATGCTGTTTTAATATTCAGGGTAATGTACCAGCTGAGAGTTACACACTATTCATGGACACATTACTGGAGACTGTGAGGGGAGAGATCGCTGCATGTATTGAGAAGGCATATTTAAGTATCCCTTGTGCCGAAGCTGCCAGGAGACTGAATTTACCGTCACAGCAAGCTGTGCTTGACTATGGGAAGAGAGTAAGTATCTTTCTATTTATTAATTTATAAAAAAAATATAGTTATTATTAGGGCTACTGTTTTTATACAATCAGAGACCCTACTAATATAGTCTCATTAAACAATAAACTCAATATATTGTCTATATCTAAGCAAAGCCTATTCCTTACTAAACAATTACTTGAATGACGAGTGTGCATGGCAATAGTTGTTCATGCACTGGATTTTCATTTAATGTTAGACATAGACTATATAAAAAGTAATTCAATTGAGTTTCTTGCTAGTTCTTCTCAATCGGATCTATATACCGAACTGGATGAAATAATCCCATACCGAGGAAGAAATAAAAATTATAATGTAAAAATTTGATGTTCATAAGCAACTAAAATGTCCTACATAAATAAATGCTTTTTTAATTGTATTTATCTGAGACTACATTATTTAACACTTGTTGATTTTAACAGAAAAGTAACTAGGTTTGTAATTGTACATTATGGTTCACAGTTATTCACAGTTCCTTACATAATCGAAATACATTGGATTTTATTGTTCAATAAAATTTATTATTAGCAATGTTTTTATATGATTAACTTACTGCATTCATACTCCATCCGAATCAACAAAAGAAATTAAGCTTATCAACAAAAACTAAAAAGATTACTAGGTAGGTAGGATGTACATTTTCGTAATTAATTTCATATTAATCTGCAAAAATAGTATTGCAATATCCTAATGTAAAATCAGGGTGCACCTATACACAATAATATTACTGTTAAAATACTTTGTGTACTAATCAATGATATGGTTTCTGTTTCAGCGCAATTGGGTTTTAGGTCCAGATAATTGTTATCATTTCAATGCCGCCGAAGAGAGCTGCGCCGCTGCAGCTGGAGTGTTGCCGTCTTCCGAACTTGCGGAACAAACGATCGAGTATGCGAAGCATTTGGAGATGATTGTTTAGATTACATAAATATTTTTAACTTCATACCCTTTGTCCATATTATTAAATAAATAAATAAAAAAAAACAGTATAAAATTATTTTGCATAAAGTTGTTTTATTACATTACTGTTGCGGTACATAATTAATGTAGGTACTAATTACAATCAATTGTACAAAGATGAGAGATCATCCAGTTTTAATAATTGTATAAAATGTTCTAAGGCAGTCTGCAAGTTCCAACTTTTTATTTCTAAGCATCTGAAAAAAGATAGCAATGAATAATATTTAAAAAAACACATTAGGATATACCGTAAGACAATGGATGTACTAAAAAAACTACCTTTCACTTGCTTTCTTGTCTAACTCGGTCAAATTAATAAATATTTCCATCAATTTTTCTTTAAGATAATCGTCTGGGGCCTCATCCAATTTAAGACTTAATGCATTGGATGGAATCTGAAAAAGAAAATCAAAATTAATAAGAGTCTCATTGATTTCTTTATTAGTGTCGTAGTGGTGAATGTAACAACAGACCATTTGCGCGAAGCATATTAAATTCTCGCGGGAATAATGAGTATTCACGTCCTAGTGTTGTACCGGCTCTGTTACAGAGTAGCATTTGCATATTATGGGTACGGTCGTAGCGTAATAAAAAAAAGAGTAGTAATTAATACTTATAATTATATTATGTAATGTAGATGCTTTTAAATGTAAATAGTGTTATAATTTTCGTGCATATTGATTAAGTTTTCTTTACTTTGTCAAAACGTATGTAGCTCAATTTTTTATTAATTAGTCTATGAAACAGTACTAGGAAAATGATCACGATGATTATAGTGTTATATTCTTACGTTTCTATTATAAAATATTTAATATAAGGAACATACGAATATTACAAAAACAGTAAGTTACTGTTATAATCTAAAAATATATATTTTTAAAAAGTTTTATGCGATTCCATTCATAGAATGGAAACAAAGACAATATTTATTTTTGGTACTGGAAACATTTCATTGATTTACCGACGCCGCTGTCAAAAACACTGCATTGCTATATTGCTATTTCCGATTTATTAGAAAATCAACATAAATATAATTATTACGTCGTACAAGTTAAAATGAAGAAACATCAAACGCGGCAGAAGACGTTGAACGATCCAGTGATAGTATCTCGTGTTAAAAACTACTTGGCTGAGAATGTGGACAAAACGTTCGTCGATGTGAGCCAAATGGCGCGTTCTCTCAAAGAGCGCTATCGCGAATATAATAATCGGAGTGATACTGCATTCTGCCAGATGGTCGAGGGCGCGCTATAAAGTCGTACTACAGAGCTACGGCCTCGACGGGGCCTCTACTTCTGATGGTTCAGAGGAAGAATCCGATTTGGAGTTACTAGATGAAAACAACACCGCCCTAAACGACCGATTGCTCGCTATGTACAAATTACAAGACAAGAAACGGCCTGCTGCGTCTCGCCGAGCCACTGACAAGTCGGGGGAGCCGATAGACATCCTTAGCAGTGATGAAGATGGTTCTGCCGCACCCAAATTACCGAAAATCAATGATCAGATTACTATAACCCCACATATACCGACGCGGAATACAAGCAGCACACCAATGGAGAATCCTAAAATGCAGCTAGGAGTACACATAGCTGACAAAAGACGAAAGCTGGAGAGTAATAAACATGCAAGTACAAAGAAAAAATATGATACTCCACCAAAAAATGTAAAGGTTAGTTTTGAAGACATCGGTGGCATATCAGAAATTATAACCCAAATATGTGATCTGATACTGCATATGAAACATCCTGAAGTGTACAGTCAGTTAGGTATTAAGGCACCTCCAGGTGCACTGCTGCACGGCCCGCCCGGCACAGGTAAAACACTGTTGGCACATGCTATTGCAAGCTGCAGTTACCACTTATTGCTGTTTCGGGCACAGAGTTAGTTGGTGGTATGTCTGGAGAGTCAGAGGAAAGGATCAGAGAACTATTTGAAAGAGCAGTGTCAGTTGCACCGTGTGTTTTATTCATAGATGAAATAGATGCAGTCTGTGGCAACAGAGTGCATGCTCAGAAAGACATGGAGAAACGGATGGTCGCCCAGCTATTGGCTAGTTTAGATGGTTTAAATGACAGTAGTGCTTCAGTCCTTATTCTCGCAGCAACAAATAATCCAGATGCCTTAGATCCTGCTTTAAGACGAGCAGGACGCCTTGAACAAGAACTCACCTTAGGTATTCCGTCATTAAAATCTAGAAAAGAAATCCTCTCAATCTTATGTAAAAATATATCTCTAAGTGAAGATGTTGACCTGAATGCTGTTGCTCAAATAACACCAGGTTTTGTTGGTGCAGATTTACAAGCTCTTGTTAATAAGGCAAGCACTTATGCCGTTAAAAGAATTTTTGCTGAAATGCGTAAGGAATCTTTAAAACAAGAAAATTCTGGAAAATTGAAAAATGATGCACCTCCTGCTGTAACTAATGGAGAAAAAGTACCTGAAGAAACAGCTCCTGAGAGTGACACCTCTGATCAACAACCAGAGGGATCAGTTCCGCAACCAGAACAAAACAGAGAATCTCCAGCCCAAGAGGCACCTATTGAAAATTCTGTTGTTGTGGACACTAATCATATAGAAATAAAAAATAATGTAAAAACTGTTGTATTAGATCCTGTAGATGAAGTACTTGGCCTTTTGGAAGACACCATGCCATACACTCAAGAAGAATTGAAGGACTCGCAATCAGACAAGAAGACTTCCTAAAAGCTCTCAAAACAATTAAACCATGTGCTGTGAAAGAAGGTATTGTAACTGTACCCGATGTTACATGGGACGATGTAGGATCATTAAATCAAGTTCGCAAAGATTTACAATTAGCTGTGTTAGCACCTGTAAAGTATCCAGAGCAACTTAAAAAACTTGGTTTGTCCGCATCAAGTGGGGTTTTACTTTGTGGCCCACCAGGTTGTGGTAAAACATTGCTAGCAAAAGCAGTCGAAAGGCAGGTGTGAATTTCATTTCGTTAAAGGCCCGGAATTGCTCAATATGTATGTTGGTGAAAGTGAAAGAGCCGTGCGAACATGTTTCAGACGCGCGCGTAATTCGGCCCCATGCGTTATATTCTTTGATGAGTTTGATGCTCTGTGTCCTAGGCGAACCTCACAAGATCACAATGGAGCAGCCAGAGTTGTCAATCAATTGCTCACTGAAATGGACGGCATTGAAAGTCGGGAAGGGGTATTCGTGTTGGCTGCATCCAATAGGCCAGATATTATAGATCCAGCTGTACTGAGACCTGGCTGTTTAGACCGTGTTATGTATGTTGGAATGCCAGAGAGGGAAGACAGATTTGATATACTTAAAAAACTTACAAAAAATGGCACACAGCCTCAACTGGGGCCAGAAGTTGATCTGCAAGTTATTGCAGAGCTGACTGCGGGCTATACAGGAGCTGACCTGGCGGGTTTGGTGAAGTCCGCAGCCACTAATTCATTAACGATTCACATTTCAAACGGAACCATAAATGAAGATATTTTTGTTTCATTTGAAGATTTTAGAACGGCTCTGACTAAGTGCAAACCTTCAGTTTCATCAAAAGAACAATTGCATTATGAAAAACTGAGATTAAAGTACGCGTCCGGGGCGGACGACAAAGACATGGAAATGGAGACCGAGCCTACAAACGAGGAATCCATGGACACTGTTTGAGAATCATTTGAGCTTTGGTTTCTATGTTAGTATTTGTTTCTGTAATATCATGTCCCTTAATATTGTAAGTGTGTGTATTCTATAGTGCCAAGTTGTACTCTCAAACAGACGATCAGAGAAATTGCTAGATTAATAGATATTATTTTTTAGCTGGTCCTTGAGTACTGTGAACTGTTCCGTCACAGTCCAGTACTATGAGGTATTAAATTAAACTGTACTCTGATATCCCAGGAACATAATGTGACATGCAATGTAGGAACAATTATAATGGGATAACATATGTATGCTCCTAAGGCCATTTATAATTACTGCACATTTTTGCACATTGAATTTGAATGAGAAATAAAAAATATTTTACTTATTGTGTTGTTTTCTGTAGCCTGTTGCAGCCGGCACCTACTATTACTATTTTTGTATTATTAATATTCTACTACTATAATATTATATATATAAATAAATAGTTTACAATCGTTGTGTTTGGAAATATTATTTTCAACCAACTTCAAAACGTAGGTGGGTCTCAAACCTTTCAAAGGACTTACATACAAACCAAATTATGTGTAGGTCATTTGATAACTTTGTCATTTCTGCGCCAATTATGATGATTCTTTCATATTGGCTGATTCATCATGATTCATGAAAGAATCAATATAATTGGTGTATAAATGATAAAGTTAAGGACAGACTTTGTACAAGGTTGTGAGCCTCCAAACAACTTGCTATTGTATGCAGTGTGTCGGTTAAAGGGTGAGATAGGGTAGTGAACAGGCCGGACAGGTGTTTTCATTATAATTAAATAAAAAAATAATGATTGCATTCGATAAAATAAATATTATGTTCTAGCAGGCATTACTTTATCTATTACAATATATACCACACTTGTCCACTTCGAGGTAAATGGAGACTACTTGAACTAATCCATTAATAGAACATAATAAATATGTTATTCTTAATAAATATATAGTCGGCAAATAGAAGATGTTCCGCCATTAATATTTGGTTGCAAATAATCTTAATGTATATTAAAATGTAATTATACACTTTTTTAAAATTTAACGTGAAGCGTAGAACCTCGACATTGTTTTTTTTTCCTTTTATAAATTTATATACTGTTCTCGAATATTCCATTGAATATATTAAGTGTACAAAATGATTCTGTCAACTTTTAATTATCATAACTACAAACATTACACATATTTTTCCAATGTTTGGTGACTAGTTCAGAAATTTCAAACCTGTCAATGCCGAGAAACAATTCGGTAAAGACCGAGTTGGACATGTACACCGAAGGTGCCGAACAAATAATATAAATAGGTTTTATTTTCTTTATACTATAATTACTTATCACATCAGCTAAATTATTTAGGTAGTAGTATATACATAGCCCTAATAATATATTTATATATAGCCTGTGGGCGTTAGGATTTCAGGTTGTTGTGAGATAAAGGACCCTTACGCATTTAATCCGAAAAATAAAGTAGTTTTTCTCGTTCTCCTCGTTTACATTTATAGGCACATTCTTTTTTGCATGAAATTCGATTCGTGTATGATAGAGCGTACAAGTATGGTATGGTATGTACCTTGGTGAGGGTGAAGGCGGTGGCTGCGAGGCGGTTGGTGAGGGTGTAGGCGGTGGCTGCGAGCTGAGGCCCGGAACTGACCTTGGTGAGGGTGTAGGCGGTGGCTGCGAGCTGGGAGCGGAACTGACCTTGGTGAGAGTGAAGGCGGTGGCTGCGAGCTGAGGCCCGGAACGGCTGACCTTGGTGAGGGTGAAGGCGGTGGCTGCGAGCTGAGGCCCGGAACTGACCTTGGTGAGGGTGAAGGCGGTGGCTGCGAGCTGAAGACCTTGGTGAGAGTGAAGGCGGTGGCTGCGAGCTGAGGCCCGGAACTGACCTTGGTGAGGGTGAAGGCGGTGGCTGCGAGCTGAGGCCCGGAACTGACCTTGGTGAGGGTGAAGGCGGTGGCTGCGAGCTGAGGCCCGGAACTGACCTTGGTGAGGGTGAGGCGGTGGCTGCGAGCTGAGGCGGTGACCTTGGTGAGGGTGAAGGCGGTGGCTGCGAGCTGAGGCCCGGAACTGACCTTGGTGAGGGTGTAGGCGGTGGCTGCGAGCTGAGGCCCGGAACTGACCTTGGTGAGGGTGAAGGCGGTGGCTGCGAGCTGAGGCCCGGAACTGACCTTGGGCGGTGAGCTGAGGCCCGGAACTGACCTGAAGGGTGAAGGCGGTGGCTGCGAGCTGAGGCCCGGAACTGACCTTGGTGAGGGTAAGGCGGTGGCTGCGAGCTGAGGCCCGGGACTGACCTTGGTGAGGGTGAAGGCGGTGGCTGCGAGCTGAGGCCCGGAACTGACCTTGGTGAGG